AATTAAAATCAAAAACAAGAAACATCCACTTGAAAACCCAAAAAACATAAATCAACTGGCTTAAAACTCGTACAAAACACTTCACAGAAGACACCAAAAAACACACTATGAACCAACAATAAATGAATTAAAATATAAACACCATCACATTATCTCCTTTTTAATAACCAATTCCATAAGGCACCCTTAAATATACTATAACTGTCTAATACAGGGCTATTCAACTGGAGGCCCGTGGGCCACACCAGGCCCACTCGTGACCAAAATCCGGCCCACCAATTGGTTCATTAAGTTCATTGATTCTTAAGCCCAAACCCTCGGTATTCTATTTTAATTACTTTAAGTTAAACGTAGATGTGTGGCATACAGAAACATCAGAATCTTGGTCAAAAGCTGGTACCATTTGAATGAAAACCCAAAACACTTCAAACTACAAGCAGTAAAATACAAAATTAAGTAAAAATAAAATTGGTTTAAAACTGTGGCACATTAAATATGTCAATAATAATAATTGTGTCAATTGTTTTTGATTTAGTTTTAATATCACTTCTTTTATTACATTGGGTTCTATATGTTGTGTTCAAGATTAAATGCAGCAAAGTGAACTAATTCAAAGGTAACAGATCTTTGTAATACTTGGTTTATTTACATGATGATTTTTATTGCTGCTCGGACCCTCAGCTGTTGGCCTGCACTAACTGTGGCCCCGGAGCAATTTAGTTGAATAGCCCAACATAATACTTTCCAGTGTCCAATGGCTCTGTACATAACTGGTCATAAAATCCCAACCAAATGCTAATCTCACGGCATTGTTCTGAACAATTAATAGTAATTTATTTAGATCTTTTTAGACAGCTGGACCACGTAGCAGAACAGTAGTCAAGTTGACGTAAAACCAAAGACTGTCAACAATTTTCTTATTCTAAAAGACATGAAATGGCCATTAAAGCTATTTCTGCTCATTTTCAATATTTTTTGAATGTGTGTGGACCATGACAACTGTGAGACTCCAACATGTAAGGCTGGATGTGCAAGTCTTCTGTTGTTGATACCTTTTAATTAATTTGCAAATTAAAGGTTTCTGTGCCACTATAGTCATAAATCCCTCTATCAAACTCAAATAAACCAGTCTGGAAGATGGAGGGGGGCGGGGTGTGAAGCACCTTATTTGGATTTAAAGAGACGCCCTCAAAACGAGTTCAACTGAGACATTCCTTTGTAAAGAAGTGAGAAAAAAGAATTTAAATACAGGCATGATACTGGATGTCTTCTTTAACAGTTAAGCAGTTGTTGTTTCTGGAGATAAGAACAATACGTTCTTGTTTCATGCAGAACCGATTCAAGCAACATCCAGAACAACAGTCAGACTGACCTCCTCTGCAGCTCATCCAATCTGTAAACTTAAAAGAGCAAATCAGAGATGAAACATGTCCCTCTTTACTTAAAAACTGTCATTGCTTCAGATTTTCATAGAGGTTTATTGTTCCAGTGTCAATTAATTCCTCAGATTGTTACTCATCATTTTTATCCATTTACATTTTTATGAGAAAATTAAAGGACTGTACTTTTGTCCACATTAATTGGCTCTCAAAGAAATATGGTAATTGGTGTTTAAACCATAAAAAAGGGTAAATTGGATTCTAATTTGACTCCTTATATCCAGACATATAAAAGAGTTGTGATAAAGAAGAATTTTCATGCCAGTTCTGATTAAAATGGAGTAGAGGTCTTGAATGGAAATTCACGAGAATAAGGGGTCAGATGGAGTCGGTCTCACGCTGGGCTTCATGTTTTATACATCGGTGCAGTGATTAAAATGTAATTAAAACATGTCAGTTTCTTTTTATAACTAGCTTCTCCTTCCCTCGCGCCTTTCTTTGCTGATTATATAAATATGTTTAGATGCAGATAAACTTTTTTTTTTTTTGGTATTACAGATGTAAAAAAAAACTGAGCAATGTTGGAACCAATAACTACGATTTTTTTGTTTGTTTGTTTGTTTTTTTGGTTGAGCAATCAGGATTTAAATTTGATTTGTGGTCTGTTCTTGGTCTATTTTAATATGGATGGATGGATGGATGGATGGATGGATGGATGGATGGATGGATGGATGGATGGATGGATGGATGGATGGATGGTTGAGATCAGTTTACAATCTGTTTGTTTGTGATTCCTGTTGTATCTGTCTGCAGTGGTTTATTTGCAACTTTTTGCTTTTTTATTGTTATTATTTCATATCCCCATCATTCTTTCCTTGTTTTTGTTCTTAGTTATACTCATTTAATGTGAAAAACAGACTTAAACGTTGCAGACTGAACTGCACAAGTAATCAAAAATAAAAAAATCTACGGTTAACTGAGTATAAATAGGTTTGATAAGTAAGTAAGTAAGTAAGTAAGTAAGTAAGTAAGTAA